GCCATTTGCTTCCTGTTTCTTTCTCCTTGAGGGCCGATTTTTCCAACATCTTGGTAAACTAACTAATAATTAAATCATATGCCCGTCTTTATCCAATTCAAAGACATGACATGATTTAACTGTTAACTTACCAAGAAGTTGGAAAAATCGGCCCTGCCTTTCTGGCAGAGATAAGCTTACTTACCAACCAGTTAAGACCCGTATCTGGCTTTGTTTATTTTGAAGGAGAGGAGCAAAGATGAACATGTGATTTAACTGTGAGCTTACCATTCGACTGGTGCGATCAAGCTTTGGATCTTAAAACTTGATCTACAATGTGTTCTTCGCTTCCTGTTTCTTTCTCTTTATCTCTTTCTGTGACTCCTCAAGAAACCAGAAAAAGGCAGAAAACGAGAAACAGGAGACAATTGTCTTCATATTCGAGACAATATACAATATGCTGTCTTCAAGACAGCATATTGTAAATTAAGCTTAATTGTATCTTCAGCCAGAAAAAAGATGAAGAATAAGGATCGGGAAGTAAAGAACGTATTGTAAATAAGGCTTTGAGATCTACGTAGTCACTTTTTGTTCAGAGACTTATCGGGGGGTTCAGGGACCAACTTGACGTTGAGTCCCGAACGACCTAAAATGGCGACTTCACGGGTGTTCAGGGAAGAAGCGTGATTACGCTGGAAAGGATTGCTGCTTCGTTGGAAAACCCGATAGTGTCGATACGACACCAGAGATGGTTGCCATTGAGTTATGCGACGGTGACGGCAGCAGCGGCGATTGTTGGCGGGCATGATAAGCCTTTAAATTGCTGTGACGTGCATCCGCGCGCTTTTCTCAGTCCGCTTTGACGCGTCATTTCGCCTCGCCGTACACCGGGGAGCACGCTCCAATGAGCTCTACGCTCTGTTCCCGTGTATATGAAAATTGTGCTCGTGCTGCGAGCGCGCGCGTCCCTAATACTTATAATCGACATTCCCCGTCAATTATACGAATCCGTCTCGTGTATTGCAGAAGACTCGTGTATTGCACGTGGTCCCTTGCGCTTATTAAGCCCCAACGCCAAAGCCGGCGTCCCCGCGTCGGATTGTGTTGTCTCGGGAAAAGCGTGCGCCTAATTTAGTAGCTGATTAGCTAGTTGATTAGGTTAAGGGACACCGACGGTGCAATTCGCGAGGCATTCCTGAGATATAGGGGACTAAATACGGCGACAGGCAGCGCGAAATGTGAAATGTCGCTTTGAGAGAGAGAGAGAGAGAGAGAGAGAGAGAGAGAGAGAGAGAGAGAGAAAGAGAGAGAGAGAAGAAAAAAATAAGTCGCAACTTAAAGCGAAGAGAATCTCGATGAAGAGAATACAAGTGTGATAACACCTATGTTGTATACAGCAGTTGCTGTGAATGCAGAGGCGACTTTTCAGACGCTTGACGCGCGCGGGTTCGCGTAGACGCCCTTTAGCTACGTCGCGCGTTCGATGCTGAGCGTCGCGCATGCTGCAAGCCGCTGCAGAAATAACGAAAGCTTCAAGCGTCGCTAGAAAGGTAATTTTGCAAAGCTGAGGAAATGCGCACGAAAGCAAAAGGTGTAGTCTCTCTCTGTCTCGAAGGAGAGCCCTGTTCGCCGTAAACGTTGATCGCGCGTCGAGAAACGACGTGTGCGACGCGCCATCGCGAAGAACACGGGGATTAATCTACAATGTGCTCTTTGTCTCTTAGTCTCTGTCGTTTTCTATCTCAAGGCTTGATCTGCAATGTTCTTTGCTTTCTGTTTCTTTCTTTTTATCTCTTCCTGATTCAAACCTTAAACCAGAAAAAGACAGAATAAGAAACAGAAAGCAAAGAGCACTTTGTAGATTAAGCTTTAAGCTTGATCTACAATGTACTTTTTGCTTCCTGCTTCTTTCTCTTCAACTTTTTCTGATTCAAACCTGAAATCAAACCTTAAGCTTTAAGCCAGAAAAAGACAGAAGACAAGAAACAGAACGCAAAGAGCATATTGTAGATCAGGCTTTAAAGTTTGAGTCAGAAGGAGAAAAGAACAGGAAACAAAGGACACATTGTAGAGATGACTTCACGACGGATTGGCGACATCCTCGCGGCGATATCGCCGGGCACGCATTAGGTCACGCCGCACGTTTCACGTTGCATCGCGCGTCGCATCGCGACGTCCTGACGCGCGTCCAGCCTCCTCTTACGATAGATATGTACATCAGTATCGCGACGACGCACTTTGTGATGTCCTGGTGCGACGACATCGTGGGAGATAAGTCCTGGGTTCTCGCTGTGGAAAGCTCGCAACCGTTCGGTCGTCAGTCGCCGCCAACGTGAGGATCAGCTACGACGAGGTGCTTTTTCCCCGGGCCTTGCCCTGGCGCGGCGGGCCAAGCCGAGGAGTAGCCGTAGCGAGGGTCACTACGCGGAATACCGTAAACACTGTCGAGAGTAGTTCGCCACTGAGCGAGCCGACTCTCGCGGATGCCGCGCGCGCGTTTCCGGAAACGACAGTATCACTCCTTTTCCCTCCGCCACCCTGTAAGCTGCACTGCTCTCTATTTATACGCGTATCAAAGACGTTGCGGGACAAGACACTCCGTTTTCTCTCTCTCTCACTCTCTGCTGTGCTGTCTCTTCTTCCCTCCCATTGTTTTTCTTTCCTTTTCTCTCTCTCTCTCTCCTCCCCTCTCTCTCTCTCTCTCTCTCTGCCCTCTTGAGCCACGGATTGTTCTCGTCGCGGGCAGGGCGCGTTTTTTATGTGTTTCTTTCTTCTCTTGCAGGAGGACAAGCGATGATATGCTGGAAAACGAGGAATGGACAGGGAGTATTACAGAACGAAAGAAAGAAAGAGAGGGAGAGGAGGAGGAGAGCTAGCAAATGAGAGAAAGAGAAATAAAAAAGATCAGAATGGGCACTTCTTCGCCTCCTCTCGCCCCTGATACTTCGATCGCGGCCACACGCGGGATGCTGGCGACTACTGTACATCGAGATGCGTCGAGAAAATCCCTACGCTCTCCCGCGATTCGCACCCCTCCCGATTTCACGAGCACTGTTGGCGGTGGCGACACGCGGACCTGCGCTTTACACGACGACGCCAAGGCGTCGCGACGCACGTCGGGAAGCGCCGGCGCCTCTTTTGCAAACGGCGTGTTAATTGAATGAGAAATACGCTCCCTCGAATTCGTTCCGTTTGCAACTTTCATCTGAAGACAATCGAGATACATAATCGTTACTTCTGGATTGCGTTCCTGCTGAAGAGGTCATTTTGTCTTTATTTTTCGTTAAACATAACAGGTAGATTGAATGACGACGCTTTTAATTTGAAAGCGAAATTAATTAAAATTTTGTGAATATTTTTTTACACATTTTTATACATTATATCTAAGATCAAACAACGTGTAAACAATTTTAATCAAGGTACATATGACTCTTGACGTTATATATTTTATATTGTATTAGATTGTATTATAAAAGATAACAAAACCAAAAGTTTCTTAAATCTCAACTATATTGTTTTCTATTACATTTATTACCCACTCTTTCTCGTCATTTTTGATACAAGGGCAGAATCAAGATCTGAATCAATTTAGCCTAGATTCAAATCAAATTGGTTTGAATATTGGCTCTGTGTTTACATCATTAAAATTTTGTGAATATTTTTTGTACACATTTTTGTACATTATATTTAAGATCAAACAGCGTGTTAAACAATTTTAATTAAGGAGTCATTACATATGACTCCTGACGTTATGTATTATTTTATATTGTATTAGATTGTATTATAAAAGATAAAACCAAAAGTTTCTTAAATCTCAACTATATTGCTTTCTATTACTCTATCTAACTATATTACATTTATTACCCTCTCTTTTTCATCATTTCTGATACAAGGGCAGAATCAAGATCTAAATTAATTTAGTAACTCGTAAATTATCGTATAATATATATAATATATTATCGTTTTACATGATACGATCTAATACAATATAGAAAGTGACTTATAAATTATATATGTATATATATATATATATATATATATATATATATATATATATATATATATATA